CCTATAATATCCTATATATATCGTCAAAAGTCATAATGGCCCAGTTGGTTAAAGCTTTGAAAATAAAACAGGAGAAATAAGCTCAAATTTTAGTTGGGACAATTTTAATCTTTTTTTGGGGGGGGGGGGTTTCTTTTTCTTTCTTTTTTTTTTGTTGCTTTTGTTGATTTCTCTTCTTTAACGTCTACAAAAAAACATAAATGCAAAAGACTGTAGAATACGTTGATGCATATCACTAACTAGGCCTTGCTATGTCAGTATACGTTACGCAATACTAGTACCGGTAGTGTCTTTGCAAGTTGGATTTTATCATTCAGGTACCGCCATGTTTTTTTATGTGTAATTTTACTGTTTCCATGAATTGTATCTTTAACATGATTGTAATCATTCTTTTTGTTTTTTCAAACCTATAAATCAATAAACTTAATTATTTACTTTAATACCGTATTTATCCATTCATTTAATTTTCAATAAAAAATAACAAAAACAAAAACAGCAATAACTGCAGTAATATAAGATTAAGAAGAGCAAACGTATTAATAATATGATATATATGATTATATATTTGCCTCGTAGGATATTGATGACCTAAGAATGAGCGCTGATCCTCACAATAATCCCAGGTACGGTGTCCGGAATAATAAGTAACCATATTAATCGAATTAATCAGCAATCTTACTTATTTAATATTATTTAAATCTTGTCTTATTGTTCGATTTAGTTAGATTTTAAAATATTATATAAAGGAGGAAGCAAACTACAGGTATTATTAGAAATGCAGATTGGTGATGTAGTGTGTAACGAAATAATCTATATTTAGTATCAAGGCAGAACACATTACATGGTTCAAAAAACGCTTATGAATTGTCGATATGAATATTACAACCGGTACAAATATGATGGAAATTAAACACCGATGGTGCTATTGCCTTAGGCTCATGTTGCAAGGCTGGTTTTTCGTATTTTTAGGCACAATGGCCCCTTCTGGAGTGTAATTCAAAATTAACTGTCCAATCCGTGGAAGACAAGCGCCTGTCTCACAAATACTCCGTTGTCCCACATGTTTTACCTACGGTATGTTTGCGCGATCAGTTTGTTATTATTATTTTTGGGGTGGGGGTTAGTCGGGGCTCAGCGGAATGGTACATCATACTGCTGTATCATCATATTTTTGTTGTTCGTCCTTGTACAGAATAGAGGCCCTATTTGATGTAGCCGGGCACTTACTGCGTCGAATGACCGTCAGCCGACGAATCCAAGTCCGCTCCCTGCATGCGCTAGACGACGCTGATTGCCGGTGGGAGTCTAAATAGATTGGCAATAAAAAGAATCCGTTGCGCGCGAGTCGTGGCTGTCGTGAGTGCTTGGCCTCCATAGGCCTATTATACATCGTCCCGGATTGGAATACCTAGTTAAAATAATAAAAGACCGTTTGACAATTAACAAATATTGTTTTCAATAATAATTAATACATTCAATAGCTCAAGTAACAATTAAGTTACAAACCTCAGATTATGTAGGGATATTAAAGTACGTTAAAGTTATTACCAGCCAATTAAGTGTCTATTGAAATATATATTTATAGGTCCGTTCTTTGTTGAGGAATTCTTCTCTCATATAATTTCAATTAACAGTTATTTATAATTACTTACTTATATTGAGCCTGTACAAAGTAAACAATTTAATTATTGGATCTATAGTTTATCACAAACGGTTATTACAAAATCACCTATTTGAGCTATGCCTACGCATAGTAATAACAGCTCGATTTATTTTCTTTATATTATGTATCGCCCTCTCGCTTGTTGTTTATGATAGTATCCTTCATAAGATGAATAGGCACACTCACAGGAACGATTGACATCAGCCTAGGCCTATCTTTAATGTAAATTGTGAACTACACTAATGTAAGCGGACGTATTAGTATGGATTTATTTTCAAGGCTCATTCAAGTACAGATAATAAATAAGCATAAGCTTGCAATCTCTCGCACTACAGACAATTAATAAAACCACTGACTCGAAAAAAAAAAAAAAAAAAAAAAAAAAAAAAAAAAAAAAAAAACAGCTCAAATGAAACCTGATTGCTTTCGCATTCGTTTTTCTTGCTTTTCCTAAATCGTTATTTCTAATCCACTATCGTATCTTTAATGACTTTTTTTTAAATCTTACTGTGTATACGCGGAAGCCCCTTGGATATTGTTACTAAATCCTACAAAACACGTGTCACGTGCTTGTTGAAAACGTGGTTTTGTGGGACAAGTGTGTATTATTGCTCTGTGTTCTGATTGGTCAGTTGTTAATGTATTTGGCACTACGGTCCATTATTATATGATTTTATGAAACAAAATCATAATATTGATGAAATTGATATTCTAGATTCCTATCATATTTCAATAATATGGAAAAATAGCTGCAAATTAAGTCTTGCTATTGAACAGTAAACCATAAGTATGATGTTAAACACTCAACCAATGTCATTTTGATATCGTCCATCATCAAGAGATATTTGATTTTTCACATATTAACAAAATACTGTAATTCGGTTTTTGTACTCTTTGGTAATAATTTTTACTACACTTATACTAAAAATTCATAAAAAGCTCATTCCGGTCCTAGTTTTCAAACAACCTAGCCCATTTCTTGTAAAACTGCAATGTAGCCTATATCTATACTTTTGTATTGAATTGTTGTCTCAAAATATCCGCTAATTGTTTAGCCATTTTGGAACTTTTCTAGTGAGTTAAAATTTGATAAAAATGTTTGTTTGGTGTGATTTGTACTTAATATCATGTTTTGTCTTTCAGGTCGAATGCGATGGAAACCAGGGTTAACGGTTTATTACCTGGATGCCCAAACCTGCTGCATCCGGATGATGCTAAAATGCGCCACGAAAGAGAGGAACATTTAGCCAAAATAAATTCACAAAAAAACAAAATTATGCACAAGAAAAAGATAACAGACGAAAAGATGCCAACCGTGGTTATGGATTTGCATTCTTTTAACTCTGACAACCGACAGAATGGAAATACGTTCCCAAGTTTCAGCAAGAAATTGTCACGATCACATTTGACTCTGGGTAAAATTACAGAGGGCGATGAGGACGCTGTTGATACAGAAAATGAGAATGCGTTTATAACGGCAAACCGGAGATGGAGATCATGTCCCGGGTCCCCAAGGCATAATAGCCCGTACTTGAGAGAATACGCTTTTGATTCTACCTTTCACAAATGCGTTACCAACAAACTATTGAACGAAAATGAAACTCATCGCAACAAGCCGAAGAAAGTAGTCCTACAACTACCCCAGATTGTTGTCAGTTGACCCTGGATATCAGAAAAGATTGTTACCAACTCAAATTATACAAAATTTGCG